AGTTGATATTCAAATTGTTGCCCTTTGTCATGAGTAATTGTGTGCGGAACACCAAATCGTGAAAAAGTGTATTTGCTGTAGTCGTCGCTGAAGTGTCTATATCTTCTGGTCATCGAGTAAAACGTTCAATAACTATTAAAATGTATGAATAACCAGAAGAAGGAGTAAGAGCTCCAACAAGATCTATATCTATGTGTTCGAATCTGCCTTGTGGAACATTTATATGCTGAGTAGAAGATTTTGTATATTTATTCATTTTAGTTTTTTGACATGGTATACATTAAAAAAGGAAGATAGAAGCTGTGTTTTATTGTAATTATTATTGTTATATTTTCTTTGTTATTTTCTTTTTGGCGATTGATTCAATAAATTATTATTATTATTAGTGATGGAACGGATAGTGATTTTGCGAAAAGCTGAATACCGGATATTCGGTACATTTCTGAAGTGATGAAATACAAAATGAACCTTTTTGATGCTAATTTAACTAACGAAGCAACTCTAAAAAGAGGATATACTTTAATTAATAATTGGCGATATTTCCACAAGGATCCTTCAAGAAATGAATTTTATAGTAAATTTTGAAAGTTATCGATGAAAATTGCAACATCGAAAATTTGATCAAAACTTCAAATAATGTTTTCTCAAAAAGTAAAAGTTATTTTTCAAAACGGGTTGCTTCATTGGAAAGAGGACACTTTTATTAACACTTTGGAAAATTTTCATACTCATATTCCAATAAATGGATTTTATACGAATTTTTAAAACATAATTGGCGAAAATTGCAAAATTCGAAAAAATTGTCGATCATTTCAAAAATTTATTTCTCAAGAATTGAAAGTGATTTTTGAAAACGGCTTTTTGCATTAAAAAGGGGATACTTTATTTAATAATCGAAAGTAATAACAGCGACAGTTCTGTTAGTAATGAATGTGATGATGAATTACAAGCGAAGAGAAGAAAACTGGACGAAACTGCAACAAGAGATTTTATATATCGTATTGCGATTGTTACAATGAGGTTGCTAATGACAAACCTCATATAAATAAAATTGTATTCAATGAAAAAGTCCTATTGGGGTTGAACTTGATTATTATCTACAGTGTCCAAGAGATACTAATTCCTGTGAATGGTGGAGTACTAAGTAATAGATTTTTAATATCCGGCCAAAGCCGGATATGTGGTAACTATCCGGTATCCGGCCGGATTTTAAAAAGTTGCCGGATATCCGTTCCACCTAGTATCCATGATCTAGTCCAAAGAGAAATGTCTTTACTCATGTGAGGCCAAAAGAAGCGAGTCTTTAATAAATGACAAATTGCACATATTCCAAGATGTGAAATTTTTGGAAAATTTGTTTGCGGAATTTTTCGTGAATATAAATTTTAAGAATGGAAACGTTGACTTTTCTTCAACGAGTGTAAAATGAGTATTACCTCGAGATTGGGCTTGTAAAAGATGTTGTAATTGAAGATGTTTAAATAGAGGATAAGAAAAATTGAGGGATTCTACAGGGTGATTCAAAAAACCGCTGACAGACTTCTAGGGCAGGTAATACATCAAAAATTAAGATGAAAAGTCTTAATATACATGGGGTCGCAAATGCCTCCTTAACGAGATATAGCGGGTCAAAGTTTCTTTAAAATTAAACATTATCTGTAATAAAAAACCCTTTTTTAAAAATATTTTCAACGCCACTGCTAATTTTGTCAAACGGGCAGTATTTTCGTGTAAATTGATTAATTACTATATATCAATTGGTCTCTTACAAAACTTTAATTAAAGCAACAGTTTTTGATTGGATTAACAAATTTTCTACAAGCATGTTTTTCTTAAAAACTATTGCTTTGATCAAAGTTTTGTAAGAGACCAATTGATAGATAATTGATCACTTTACACGCATAGAGAACAATGGCGTAGAAAATATTTTTAAAAAAGTGCTTTTTATAAAGTTTAGACTATTCATCTTAATTTTTCATGTGTTATCTACTCCAGAAGTCTCTCATCGATGTTTTGAATCATCCTGTATATTAAGGAGTGACATTGTGCCTGTAATTATATTAGAATCTCCTTTAATATACCTGATGTCTGAAGTAAATTGAGATATATAATGGAGATATCGTGTTTGTCTTGGCGTTGTATCTGATTTGGAGTTAATGGAAATAATTAATGATTTGCGATCAGTAAAAATTGTAAATTGGTTGCCGTATAAAAAATGTTCGAAATATTTAATAGATGAATAAATAGCTAAAAGTTCTCTATCAAAAGTTGAATAATTCATTTGACTAGGTCATAACTTTTTTTTCAAAGAATGTAACGGGTTCCATTGTATTATTAATAACCTGAGACAAAACTACACCAAGTAAATTCAAGTTGGCTGAAGGATTCGGGTGCGCGATATATACGGACTGAGATAACAGATCTTCAGCACGTGAAAAAGAATATGTGTGCTCATCTGTCCACACGGTTGACTCATTATTTTTGCAAAGAGTGATCGAAAGAGAATGTAAGGGTCCACGAATTTCAGAATAATTGGGAACAAATCTGTGATAGAAATTGATCATTCCAAGAAATCTCTGGAGTTCTTTCAGATTTTGAGGTTGAGGAAAATTATTTATTGCTTCAATATTAAATGAGTTGGACGAGACCCTTTGGAAGATACATGATGGCTTAAACAATCTATTGAACTTACTCCAAAAACACATTTAGTGATTTAATGTTGATTCCAAACTATCTAATCTTTCAAAAAGTTGTCGAAGGTGAATTAAGTGTTTATTTTTGTCTTTACTTGCAATAAGCATATCAACCAAGTAGACAAAAATGAAACTTAAACTGGAAGTTACTTCGTTAATAAACCGTTCAAATGTTTGAAAATTTCACAACAGATGTGGTACCAAAGCGATAGCGCATACAATATTGATTGTTAGATGATTATTCCAAAGCTTTTTTTGCGATTTTGGATCATTTTCACTCAAACCTCGTCCATCTGAAAGTTTCGCGTATAATTCTTAAAAGAATTGTGACTCCAACTTGATTAATTTGCGTCTGTGAAGTTAGCACCTCATTTTTTTAAAACTTCAAATTTCTCTTGAGTTCCCATTGCACCCCATTGAGTTCTATAGTTCTCTACCATTTTTATTAAAAGTTCCGCAAAAATAGCAAAAACATCGATATCGACTTCTTGGGGTGCTAAGTTCACAAAACGAGATCACAAAACTTGCAATAACTATTAAACGAATGCACGTATCTAAAAACTTTATTAAAATATCTTTTAGAACTCGTGAGGTGCTGCCTAGAACTCCTATCAGAACTCCCGGAACTTTTCAAAATTTTCACCCCTCCGGGACATTTACGAAATCTCAATGTGAACACTTGAAATCGCGCACAGTTTCTTAAATATTAGTTTTACGGCTTTGGGCCTTAATCATTTTCGTTAAAACTCGTGAGGTGCTACCCAGAACTCCTATTTCTTAAATGTTAATGTTTAGATTGTCAATGTTAGATGAAAATAATCCGAAACATTTAAGAAATTTAAGAAATAGGAGTTCTGGGTAGCACCTCACGAGTTCTAACGAAAATTAAGGCCCGAAACCGTAAAACTAATATTTAAGAAACTGTGCGCGATTTTAAGTGTTCACATTGAGATTTCGTAAATGTCCCGGAGGGGTGAAAATTTTGAAAAGTTCCGGGAGTTCTGATAGGAGTTCTGAATAGCACCTCACGAGTTCTAAAAGATATTTTAATAAAGTTTTTAGATTCGTTTAATAGTTATTGCAAATTTTGTGATCTCGTTTTGTGAACTTAGCACCCCAAAAAGTCGATATCGATGTTTTTGCCTATTTTTGCGGAACTTTTAATAAAAATGGTAGAGAACTATAGAACTCCATGGGGTGCAATGGGAACTCAAAAGAAATTTGAAGTTTTAAAAAAATGAGGTGCTAACTTCACAGACGTGATTAATTTTTATAACTTCTAAAGTCTTAAATTTTAGTGAATTTGAACACTTTTTACTTTTATTACCTCAAAGTCTTTCGTCTGAATATTGGCAACAATGGATCATTTTTTATTGAAATCTACATAATTTTCAATATAATTTCGGAAAATTTAATAATTCCAATTCGATTTAATAAAAAGTTATGAATTTTTTAACCTCTACTTGATCATCTCGACTTGATCATCTAGAACTTTCTTATCTGAATGTAGGCAACAATTTCGCATTTTTTATTGCAATCTGCATACTTTTTAATCCAATTTAAAAAAAATTTTATAATTCCAACGAAATTTATTGTAAATCTGTAATATTTGGTTTGAACCTTTGAACGAATGAGTCAGATAGAGTAACTTTCCTTTTAATACTGAAATATTAAGTATTTTTTGGTCCGGTTGCAAGTTGGAATATTTTCAACAAAATTTAAAATGTAACGTGGTTCATAAACACCGGGATTCATCACGTAGAAAATTGGATGTAATAACAATTTATTTTTATTAAGTACTTAATTAATTGTAATTGGCATTTTAATGATACTTCTTTATTAATATCAGATTAGCTTCAAAGAAAATTGAGTTTACTTCAATAATCTTTGTAATTTTTCCTTAAAACTTACTTTCTCAAAGTATTAAACTTGAGCGAAATTTTTACTCTATAGTAAAAGATTCTTAGAACTCAATCTTTGCTATTTTGAAACTTTCATAAAAGATATATTTAGCAAGTTTAAACTAGAACATCCTGGACGGATCAAAATGATTTTTTTTGTAACGTTTTTTGATAGAAATTTTGGTTATTTTTCAATCGATATTTTTTTATTATAAAATTTCAAAGTTTTTCGGTTCTCAGTTTAGTGGTCTTTATGTACAATTAAGGCGGCGCGAGAATGCCCCCGTGGGGCCGACTTATTTGGACGACGCCGTGCATGTGCGTCGCTGGCACCTCGCCATATACAGGCCCGTACACTATTCATAGAACGACGCCGCTCTCGTATAAAAACACCCCGACGCCCAACCGAACGCCACTCACAGTGTTACAGCCGGTGACTGCGAGTCCCCTTTGTTGCCGCCTCCTTCGAACTTAGACCGTAACCACAACCCATCAATCAAAATGTGTGACGACGATGTTGCCGCGTTGGTCGTTGATAACGGATCCGGTATGTGCAAGGCCGGTTTCGCCGGAGATGACGCTCCCCGCGCCGTCTTCCCATCCATCGTTGGTCGCCCACGTCATCAGGGTGTCATGGTTGGTATGGGACAAAAAGACTCCTACGTAGGCGATGAGGCCCAAAGCAAGAGAGGTATCCTTACCTTGAAATACCCAATTGAACATGGTATCATCACCAACTGGGATGACATGGAAAAGATCTGGCATCACACCTTCTACAATGAACTCCGTGTTGCCCCAGAAGAACACCCAATCCTCCTTACTGAAGCTCCACTCAACCCTAAAGCCAACAGGGAAAAGATGACCCAAATCATGTTTGAAACCTTCAACGCCCCAGCTATGTATGTTGCCATCCAAGCTGTACTCTCCTTGTACGCCTCCGGTCGTACCACTGGTATCGTCTTGGACTCTGGAGATGGTGTATCCCACACCGTACCAATCTACGAAGGTTACGCCCTTCCCCATGCCATCCTTCGTCTTGACTTGGCCGGTCGCGATTTGACCGACTACTTGATGAAGATCCTCACCGAAAGAGGCTACTCATTCACCACCACGGCTGAACGTGAAATCGTTAGGGACATTAAGGAAAAGCTTTGCTATGTCGCCCTGGACTTCGAACAAGAAATGGCCACCGCCGCCGCCTCCACCTCTTTGGAAAAAAGCTACGAATTGCCTGATGGTCAAGTTATCACCATCGGTAACGAAAGATTCCGTTGCCCAGAAGCCCTCTTCCAACCTTCCTTCTTGGGTATGGAATCTTGCGGTATCCATGAAACCGTATACAACTCCATCATGAAGTGCGACGTTGATATCCGTAAGGACCTCTACGCCAACAACGTACTCTCCGGTGGTACCACCATGTACCCTGGTATTGCTGATCGTATGCAAAAGGAAATCACCGCCTTGGCCCCATCGACCATCAAGATCAAGATCATCGCTCCCCCAGAAAGGAAATACTCCGTATGGATCGGTGGATCCATCTTGGCTTCCCTCTCCACCTTCCAACAGATGTGGATCTCCAAACAGGAATACGACGAATCCGGCCCAGGCATTGTCCACCGCAAGTGCTTCTAAGTCGCTTCCCGATTTATTTTTACTATTTTACTTTTACTATGTACTTAATTATTGTATAACAACGAAACGACACGCGACAAAACAGTTGGACTGCCAGAAAGACTATATTTTACCTAATTATTCTATCACAAACTGTTTTCTTTAACTTTTTTTTTGTTATATCTACCCTCTGGTAAGCGAAACGTAACTCATTATAACTTTTATGAAATAAATAAGAGTCGTTGATTCACCAACCCAAAATAATAATTAAAGAACTCCAACTATATCGTTATTAATTACTATGTAAATATATTACAAAAAAAAGGCAATAAATTTTCAAGAAAAATACAAAAAATATCTTTTTTTTATCTAAGTTATCCCATTGAATATTTCGTTTTTAGTGATTAAAAAATGATTATCAAATTATTTTCATATAGACCTCCTCGAAGACGAGAACGATTCCTTTTATGGTCATAAAAGATACCCCTCTCGAAATATATAGTTATATAAATAAACCCGCGGTAAAGATATCTACAGAAAGGGGGAGGAGGTAGTGTTTCTCTTGATCCAGGAATAACCCAACACCATTGATGGTTCCCCCAGTAGCGCGAACCCAAAACTATTTCAGTAGAGAGAGGAAACCGCAGCGCGATTTTTGCCTCGAGATATTAATAGTTTAGTATATTTAGACCGGGACGTTTTTGCTTTCAAGCGTGTTGGGTTCACTTCACTTGCCTGATATGGTCAGAACTTAGTTGGAGAGGACATTGCTTCTCTTGATGCCAAAATAGATTTTCTTTTCAAATATACTTTAATATACAATAAAAGCTTGATATAACGAACCTCGTTAGAACGGACTTCGGAATATTAATATTATCTTTTTAATAATATATCAATCAGTATATTTAAATATAAATGTTAGCGCTTATTACTAGAATCCAACAAGGGTTATTCCCCAAGTTGCTCTATTCCATGTTCATAGATAAACTCAGGGTATTCCCCGAGTTGTCTATAATACGATGTAAACATCAAGGACGGTACTTCTAGATTTAATTGTTCTTCAGCGCTAGATTATTCTATATTTTTTTTTAACTGAATGTAGAACTAGGACTAGACCTATAGAACTGGAAACGTTCGGGTTTAGTCGTACGTCTGTTAAGATGGCTAAACCCTGAATGATTCTAGTTCTAGGTATAGTGTTAGTTCTACTTTTACACTTACACTGTCACTAGAACTAACATTAGACCTAGAACTAGAATCATTTGGGTGTAGCCACACGTCTCTTAAAATGGCTAAACCCGAATGATTCTAGTTTTTCACTTGCACTGTTACTATGTAGAACTAACACTATACCTAGAACTAGAATCATTTGGGTTTAGCCACACGTCTTTAAAGACGGCTAAACTCGAATGATTCTAGTTCTAGATATAGTGTTAGTTCTACTTTTACACTTGCACTGTCACTAGAACTAGAATCATTTGGATTTAGCCATACGTCTCTTAAAATGGCTAAACCTGAATGATTCTAGTTCTAGGTATAGTGTTAATTCTACATAGTAACAGTGCTTGTGTAAAAGTAGAACTAACACAAGACCTAGAACTAGAATCATTCGGGTTTAGCCGTCTTTAGAGACGTGCGGCTAAACCCAAGTTTCTAGTTCTACTTCTAGTTTTACACTAGCACTGTTACTATGTAGAACTAACACTATAGCTAGAATTAGAAACATTTGGGTTTAGCCATTTTAAGAGACGTATGGCTAAATCCAAATGATTCTAGTTCTAGTGACAGTGCAAGTGTAAAAGTAGAACTAACACTATATCTAGAACTAGAATCATTCGAGTTTAGCCGTGTTTAAAGACGTGTGGCTAAACCCAAATGATTCTAGTTCTAGGTATAGTGTTAGTTCTAGTTTTACACTTACACTGTCACTAGAACTAACACTAGACCTAGAACTAGAATCATTTGGATTTAGCCGCACGTCTCTCAAGACTGCTAAACCCGAATGATTCTAGTTCTAGGTATAGTGTTAGTTCTAGTT